AGACCTTGAACCATTCTGACCCTCCGTGCAGGCACAGAGATAGAAGGTAGGAGAGAAGAGCTCAGGGAAGGGTCTTCCCATTGATCCCAGGCTCAAGGGACACTTAGAATTTAACAGGAAGAGAGATGAAGATGTGAATTACAGCCCATTGTGGTTGTGGGGGATGAGAACAATTTGAACCTGGTGTTCTGGACTGAGAACATGTATGAGTCACAAGGCAAGGCTCTACTCTGTGTGTTCTTTGGTTTTGTCACTATCAAAGGAAGAATATAACACACTGTAATCTGACCAGATACTGAGGGAAACGCTGTCCTCACTTGAGGCCAGCACATTCTTGTACTAATCAAGTCGAGCATAACATTCTTTGCCTTGCCACCCACCACCCCCTCAGATCTGTCTAGCTTCTGCTGTCTCTTTTTGATCTCTTTTTCAAGATTCACATGAAGGCGCACTGTGCATGTATGGCTTTATGAGCATTTGTGTTGCCTCTCTATTTGTGTGTGTGTAAAGGCAGTGGCCTGATGTGCTGTGTGTCTAGCTAAGAAAGAGAACATCAGCAAATCCAAGGAGATGAGTCTGTAACTATTGGGGTTGTTTCTTTAAATAAAATCAGGAGTGGCTAAGACAACTCCCAGGAAAAGTGCAATGTGAAACTCACAGAAGTCCCCAAATTGGCCAGGACTTCTCCACGAATCACCAAAGGTCCCGGTGCAATTGTCCTCACCAAAATCTGCCATTTATCAAAAGCCTGAGCCATCGGCCAAGTATCACTCTCTGAAAGTTCAGCAAACTGGAGGGCAAATGGCCCGGCTGCTGGCCACTTGCTGATGACGTACCTGAAGCCTCATCTCAGCCTCCCAGCTAAGCTGAAGGGAGGCAGCTGGAGTGTAGACCAGGAGGTCTGGAGGTGCAGTGACTGGAGACTACCAGTCCGTGAGTGACTTAGAAACTGAACTCTTAGGAAGCCCTCTGAAGTGAGGGAGGCCGGAGACAGTTTAGGTCAAACATACCCAGGCCTTCCCTTAGCAAGGAAACATCAGGTAGTAGATATTGTATGTCACTCTAAAGGGTGTGGCACAGGTTGAAAATGGAAAGAATTCAAGTGTAGGTCATTTCAGGATGAGAACTATAGGGGGACATGCTGTTCAAAGAAAGAGCGTTTGGGGAGTATGACATTCTTTCTCCTTCTTGGAGGACAGTGCACAGTAAGGGCTTAGAGCACTGTTCATTTGCAAACCTAAATCCAGCCTTGCTCAGATGTATATCTGGGGCCAGGACGGTAGCTCAGCAGGTACAGGCGCTTGCCACTAAGCCTGAGTTGGCTCCCAGAACCAACCTGCACATAAAATAAACAACTATAATTTAAAAATCGTCAAGATGCGTAGGCCTGCGGAGAACCGGGGTAAGTGAGGGTCTGTCTCACAAAGCTGTGAGGCCTGCGTGATAGGAGCAGACAGGGAAACACTGGTTGACGTGTGATCACTGACCACGCGGCATGGAGGGCACAGAGGAGCCAGGAGGGGAGTGGCTCATCCAACAGCACCTCCAGGGAGGATGGCCAGCCGGGGCCTGCTCCCGAAGGCCAGGTTCAGCATGCTGCCTAGAAGCTGAGTGCTTTCGGGGTCCGGAGTTCTGCACTGGAGCCCATCTGCAGGCCTTTAAGAACAGGACATGGAGCACGTCCGTCGTGAGTTCTGGCCCAGCTCACAGAGCTCCCTCTCTTCTGTGTTTCAGCACACTGCTGCTGGGGCTGAGGGTGGAGGCCAGTCCCTAGTCTCCCCTGGCTCCTGCCTGGAGGACTTCCGGGCCACTCCTTTCATCGAGTGCAACGGTGCCCGCGGTACCTGCCACTACTTTGCCAACAAGTACAGCTTCTGGCTGACCACAGTGGAGGAGAGACAGCAGTTTCGAGAAGAGCCTGGTTCTGAGACGCTCAAAACCGGGCAGCTCCACACCAGGGTGAGCCGCTGCCAGGTGTGTATGAAAAATCTGTAGGGGGTTTGCCTGTCACGCAGCCCCTAGCCTCCCTACCCCCTCACAACCGTCACCTCACACATCTGGGCTGTCCAAGAAAGGAAGGCCTGAAGCCATTTGCCTGTCAAGTTGTACATCAGAGTCTCATTTGGACTGGACTACTGGACACTGGTCATCCCAGCCTTCAGGCCCAACAGATAAGTCCACTGTGCTAGGGTTTGCTGTTCTATGTCCATCAATCTGGTGCTAATGTTCCATTTGGATATGTGTGTGATTATTCATGGCTACCTCAGAAAGATGTGCTGGACTGCCATTTTCTAAGACTGCTAGAGCTTTCCTCACGGCTTTGACCAGGAAGCTCTTCATACCAGCTAAGTTATTTCTTTATGACAAGAAGTCACCACACATTTGACTTAAACTAGAACTCCGGGTTTCTACCCTAAAAGTATGGCTCTATCTAGACCTCCCTACTCAAGGCAGCCTATTATATCTAGGCAGGCAGCAGGATTAGAATGAGGAGCCAGCCGTTAGCCAGAACTGAGCTGTGATTCCTTCCAGAGTTTGTTAAGTCCATGCCCCATCTTGATTAGGAAAGGCTGAAAGGCCAACATTTGGTCCTAGGCAAATCACTGCCCCCTGGCTGGCTCTCTCCACCACCAGAGAGATGGACCACTTGGTCTGGTCCAAAGCAGAACAAAGGATGCAGTAAGCATGACCAAGTTCACAAGAGGAAACGAGAACCACTTCACTTTCTTCTTGGCCTAGGGCAGAGGGATGAATAGATGTGGAGCTGTCAGTTTTGCTTTTGACTCCAGGAACAAAAGGTAAATCTCATGTCCCCATTCCTCAGAAATCCCGGATTACTCCAAGTGCCACCCAGATCTGTGCAGGGTGGCACACTGAAGCTGCAGTGGGTTGGCTCCTTGCATTCTGAGGCTATTCGAGACTTTCTGATAAAATGACTAGCCACTACTCTTTCACACGTAGCCTTTTAAACTATTGGAAAGTTGTTTTTTTTTTCAAAATCTAGCACACACTACTGTTAGCAGACCCCAGGTAGAGTCTGAGTTGGCCATGAGGTATACTGTCTTCTGTTTGAAGCAATTCATTTTAATTACCAGTTGCATAGAACACACTCAGTTACGCGGACATGAAGCACTCAGTCCCCTCCGGGTGATTTCACTTCTTTAAGTCCTATGTAAACTGCGCCCACACAGGCAAAGCCTAACCCATATAGCCTGAGCTGCTGTCATCATCACCTCCTACATAAGTAAAGAATGGTGTTCGCTTTGTACCTAGCAAATAAAATCAAGGAAATGTGAACATTTGACTTTTTGAGACTCTTTTAAAACTTTTTTCTAACATCTATTCTCACTACACTTTATAACAAAACATTGAAACAGGGAAAATTAGAAAATGATTCAGTGGAAGGGCAGAAAGTCTTCTCCTGGTCCACAAACCCCAACATATTTTACAATAAGCATTCAACTGCTTTTATCCCTATCACATGCTGGAGTTCAAGAAAGGAGCTTTCATTCTTCAGTGGCCTCAGGATCATTTACAGATAAATTAAACGTAGGGAAATATTGAAGTCAATGAAATGAAATCTTGTGGCTGGCGAGATCGCTCAGCAGTTAAGAGTGCTTGCTGCACAATTGGAGGACTGGAGTTTGGATCACATTAAAAAAAAAGCCATGAATTCTGTGTATGCCTTAAACCCCAGCTTCAAGGGAAGTGGAGACAGGAGGATGGCTGGGCCTTACTGACTTCCAACCTAGTCAAGAAAATGTGAACCCCAGGTTCAAGGAGAACTCTTCTCCCAAATGATTATGGAGAGAATGATAAAGAGCACCCAACATCCTCTTCAAGCCTCCACCTGTGCTCAGAGGGTGTACACACATATGTGCATATGCTCACACAGGCACATACACACAAGTAAATATTAAAAAATTAAGTCTAAACTACATGTGTGCACATATGCATATGTTACATATAAGTTATATGTACATGCAACTTAAACATGTGCATATGTTTACATACACATAAAGCAATCCTGTGGAAGGATAAACAAGAATATCCCAGGAGTTTTCAAGGAAGGAAACTGACCTGTGGGAGGGAGGGAATTCATCGCATACCATTTGCATCTTTTGAATTTTGAACATAGGTAATACATAACATACTGGGGAGAAGGAGGAGGAAGGGAGGGAGGGAGGGAGGAAGGAGAGAAAGAGAGGAAGGAAAGGAAAAGATGGAACCTAAGGAACCACGTGAGTTGGTTAGTGCTGGCTTCGAGACTGCAGATACTGGCCTCCTGTGGAACTCCGTAAAGGATGAAGATGAACTGCAGAGCCATGGGAAACACCAGCTTAACGGGGCAGCAAAAGGAAGATGGACAGATACTGTGGAGAACTGCGCATCCTCCACAGCACATGTTCAGCACAATAACGAGTATGTGCTTCCAAACGTAGAAAGTTATTATTAGTCCTGAAATGACTTGGACATGTATTTTATGGACACAGTAAATGTCATCATATGACTAGTTCTTTCTAAATATAGTTATCATTCAAAACAGTATAATTCAAACAATTGATTTAATCCTTCAAACAAAAGTGAACACTAAGTGAGCGATTGGTAAGGCCATGGCCAGCCCTCCACTTGCTTTTGTAAATCAAGTTTTAGTAGATTACAGCCATGCTCAGTCACATGTATATTGTCTAGGGCTGCTTTTACAGCACAGAATAGTTACAACAAAGGCCACATGGCCTACAAAGCCTAAAACAGTATCTACCTACTCCTTTACAGAAAAAAGTTTGCTCCCCTCTGATTCAAGTGATCATGGTTTGACTTAAGGATGTGGTGATATCAAACAAAAGAATCAGTAAGGGTGGAGACTGTGACCTATTGAAGAGGTTCCTCCAAACCAGAAGACAATTAAGAGGTGGACACTTGACATTATCTCTTTGACAAATATTTTGGTAAAAATTATAGTTATGTAAACTACACATTCAAATAATTTCACAAGAGTATTTCTCCCTGATTCGTTTATTTTATTATTTGAGCAAGAAAACAGACTTCTTCTTAGTACTTATCCCCAAAGAGGTCACACCTGAAAGGATGAAGAACAGCAGAACCATCTCTCACCCTCTGGTACTTGCAGCAACACGGAAGCTGCTGTCTGTCTCCCAAATGCTCCCATTCCAGCTGCGGAAGACTTGCTGTCCCCATGCAAGACAAGCTGGAGGCAATGGATTCCGAATCCTTCTCCTAGACTCTATGATTTTCTCTTTCTTTTCAGGGAAGGGTTGATGCCACTGATCTTTTTTTTTTAATTTCTGAAAAACCATAATTGGCTCAGTCATAATTGCTATTGAGTTTGTATGCTGTTGGCATATTAGGCACTTGCTGACCAGAAAAGTTTTATGTAACAAGTTCTTGTGGTGCCGGATGGAAGGCAGAAGACCTTCACATTGAGTTCTCACTATCTTACACACTCAGAATCTCAAAATCTTCCTCCAGGTCAAAGTCCTCCAGGTGCTCAGTAGAGTCTATGAATTCTGTTGGAATACAGAAATGAGAAAGTGGAAAAGCTTCACACTCGGGCTGATGTTCTCAATCAAGATAATACCCAGCCATTGCCACTTTGTGGGTCTGAATCAATTTGCTAAAGCAAGGTTTGTCTGGAGGAAATGTACAATTAGGACTACTATAAAGTATAGAAATTTTCTGTAAGACTCAAAACAACCAGGCCTGTTTATAGAGGCCTGCTCCCGGTGATCTGGTTAAGGCTCGCTATGGCACTCTCTTTGTCTTTCTGCCAGTTTGTTGAGACCAGGTCTTGGGATATAGCTCAAGCCGGCCTGGAACTGAGGATCCTCCAGCCTTATTTTTCTGAGTGATTACAGGCATACAACTACCAACCCAAACCTCAAGGTACTTTTTGAGGTCCCATGCCTCTGATTTGTTATTCTGAAACAAATTCTAGTCATCTGAGTTTTGAATAACAAATCTTTTACACTAAGTTAATGTTCTTTTGTTAGTATTCTTTAAAACCAACAAATGTCAGCTTCTCCGAAGATTAAAATAATCAGAAGCACCATTCTTAGATCAGGCTAGATGAGTAGAAACTTCACTTTTTCATAAGTGATATGAGCCACAATTGTTTTTATCTCAGCAAATAGTTGCACCATACAGGGCTGCTGGCCAAGAGCTTACAGAAACAGCTTACCTGCGCCTGTGGTTGTCACTTCTGGCTTGGCTGGAGGTACAAAGGGAGGCCAGTGTGCTGGGTGTTTCTGAACTAATTCAAACATCCTCAAATTCTCCTTTAGAATTTCCTGAGTTGACAAAGAAACAGCTGTAAATACCATGGAGTCACTACACTTCTGCTTACTTGGCAGCCCAAGAAACTAAACCGTGAGAGTAGCCTGGTAGTTGATAGGTGGGCAAAAAGGACCTAGAAAATACATTCATCCTCTTCTTGAATCATCTAAAGACCTCAGCTGACGTCAATTCTGGGTCCAATTGACCAGGCAATAAGGACACTGGAGCAGACAGCTAATGGAGCCCAGTATGGACTGATCCAGTCAGGGGGCTCAGGGACTTCACCAGGTATACAGGTTCAGCTAAATGGAGGGGTGAAATATTCCAAAAAGTCATTTAATCAAAATAAATATGCCCCAAGAGAATTCTGGTACACATTTGCATGCCTTCAGTTAGAGACCAAATTTGTCTTAGTTTAAATGATAGTCATCATTAAATTGTCATTCGGGCTTTAAACATCAATGCAGCATTGCTACATTCTAAAATGGAAACATTTCCTTTAAAAAATAACTTTTAGAGCTGAAGACATTGCTCAGTGGTTAGGAGCACTTTCTGCTCTTCCAGAAGAAGCAACTTGAGTGCCGAACACCCACAATGGGCAGGTCACAACCTGTACCTAAGGCTCCAGAGGATCCAATGCCCTCTTCTGGCCTCCATTGGCACGTGTATACACAGGGCATACTCACACAAACACATAAGTAAAGGTAATAAATGTGAATCTTTAAAAAATAATTCTCTTGGTTGTGTGTGGGGTAGCCATATTCCTCAGTGGTAGCCACTGATAAGGCCCTTATTCAAGTAATTCAGGCAACCCTAATCAAATATAATGGGCTACAAACAACAAACAAAAAGACATGAAGATAGACGGGGGACTTGTTGAGAAGAAAGAGTTTGGTGGGAAGGAGATAAGAGAGGATAATGACAGAGAATATGACCAAAGTACATTGTGTGTGTGTGTGTGTGTGTTTGTGTGTGTGTGTGTGTGTGTGTGTGTGTGTGTGTGTGTGTGTGTTGAAAGAAGAAAAAAGAAAGGACATATATATATATGTAACACATTACATGCCTTATTTGTGAATAATATTTACATAGCTACAGCAATAAGACTACTTGTTTTTCCCACTACAAAGGAAAAATAATTCTCTTGGGCTGGGGATAGAGCTCAGTGACAGAGCACTTCCATGAATGTGCAAAGCCATGGGTTCAGTCCTCAGAATTGTGGCAACAGTGATAATAATAATAATATTTCTCTTGAACTGGGCATAGTGGCTCATATCTATAATCTTAGTATACCAGAGGTTGAGGATGAAGTATTACAAGCTTAATGCCAGCCTGGGCGTCATATTGAGTTCCAGGCTAGCCTGGGCCACATGGCAATAACTTCTCTCCAATAAATAAATAATTGGAAAATCTACATTTTGTTTCACTAAGCTATTATCTGAGGTTACAGATTCATTTAGGGACATCAGTGTTAATCATTTGTTCCTTGTAAAGAAAAATATTTCCTCCATTTGCATACAATACTCTGGGGTCCTGTAATCCTTTGGTTTTGGAAGACAGAACTTCATGTCTCTGGTACCCCACCAGATACTTTAAAAAATACTTCCTATGATCTCCCTTAATGCATTCAGTGAACACATATCAATATATGACATCTATTTTGGTGTGTTAGAGGCTGACAATGAGGGAAATGGATAGATATTAGGAAACCAATACAATAATGCTCTTTTACACACTATACCAAAAAGGAAAACAAAATCATTTGTCACAGACTTCTGCAAATGCTGATCCCTTTCAGTGGTCACAGGCCTGTATTTTAGATAAATAACCCAGGTCATAGAAGGAAAAGTCCTCTAAACCACAATGTTATATACTGAGTTGTAAATGAACCACTAAACACCTAGAAAACATGTTAGTCTCTTTAACCATCTCAATGTTACAACCATAGCAGGGGAGAAATTCGGGCTGAGCAATATGAAGCTGGCAGCTTGAGGTTAAAACAGCCTGAGCACTCCAGGTGCCTCATGGCCTTGGCGAGGTGCAGCACTCACTGGCAGTCACGGCCTTGGCGGTGAGGTGCAGCACTCACTGGCAGTCACGGCCTTGGCGAGGTGCAGCACTCACTGGCAGCGCCGAGTCTATCACTCAGCTGACACACTTACAGGCATAAGTCTTTCTTCGCCTGTCCCAAACTTATGCAGAGTTCTCCATATCCGACAGGTTCTTTGTTACCTTAGTTTCCTCCTCTTGTAACCAAATTCTATCAGACTGGTTTGCTGTTACTATGTAAAAGTAATCTTAAAAGGGAGTCAGATTTAGTAGCTTTCATGTTTATACTTTAAAAAAAAATTGTACATCCTTACCTTCTGGACAAGGCTACACCAATTATCAAAGTCTTTTTCTTCTTTGCAGAAAAACCCCTTGGGTGGAGGAAGAAGAACACTATTTAGAATTTCCCTTTACAAGATGGAGCTGTTGTCCCAGAGTTAGGAGGTGGGCCACTGTCTGGGCCACTGACTTCCTGGGCTCTCTCTCCCTGAAATCACTGGTTTACAGATGCACACACAGCCAATCTCTCTCTTCTTCCTTCCTTTCCTCTCTTTCTGCTTCACTCCCTCCTGTCTCCTCCCTCCCTCCCTTCCTTCCTCATTCTTCCCCTTCCTCCTCCTCTCTTCCTCCTGGTCTCTGTTTCTTTCTTGCCTTCTCCCTCTCCCCTCAACATTGTTAGGTATTTTAACTTGGAGATCAGTCCCTAAAGCATGGGGTTAATTTCATCACATTTAGTGTACACACACACACACACACACACACACACACACACACACACTATTCTATTACAGCAGGAGAAAAAAGTCCAAATAGTACTTTTAGCTAGAAGCATTACTTTTAAAACGTGGCTTTGACGCTTCAAAAAATTATCTATTATATTTGTGAGAAGCAGAAGTATCCTTCTGCCTGACAGTCATCCCTCAGTAGGACAAGAATGGTCCAAAACAAGAGGGGAGTGCTCAGTCCTTGATCACTAGTGCTCTGATGGATGAAACAGGAAATGAGGATGCAGAAGGGCCTAAGAAATACTGGCTACTTCACAGGCAGGGGCCCTTTCAATATATGTTGATAGCAATCACACTTTCTAGAACAAGCCCGAGACTTCCTGGATTTGGGCATCAAGAAGTAGATACTGGCCTCTCAGGGATTCTTACTCCCTATCTCTTCTTGTCATCTCCCACCTTATAACTCTATGGCAAACATTTGAGGGCTAATGTTATTACTAAGGTTTATACCCTGTTGGCTGTGTGCCTGATCCTGTGCTAACTGCCTCTATATATATCACACCTCATATAACCAAACAATGAGGGAAGTATCATTTCCCTTGTTCCTGATATGTGAAGACTGAGGCTCAGAAAGGTTGTGACTTTTCCTACCTAGTTAAGTAGCAGAGCTTGGGTTCTAACTTGAGCAGTTTGGACCCAGGGTCAGTGCTTAACTGCCGTAGTATAGTGCCTCATTTGGGGGTGCAGAGCAAATGCACTGTTGCTATGCTACCTGACAACTTGGGCAAGTGCACAGGAATCCACTTTTACCAGGTTAACCCCAGAGCTCCTTCAAACACCCACCAAGGCCACAGATGGATCCAAGTTCAGGATACTCATTCGCTGTGGAGACTGCAGGCAATGGAAAGTCTGATCATCTACTAGTCCACTCTCTTCAGAAGTGTCAACAAAGGTCTGGGTGGTGTGAGGGTCCAAGAAAATCAGCTCATCACCTGTTTTACAAAGACATGTTTAATCTTTGAAGAACCACTGGCCCTGGCCCCCCAGCTATCCTAAGGATGCACTTTCCCCCACCCTACCCGTAGTTCTCCTAACCCCTTCCCTTGCGACAATGAGAATGGGATGATAGGAAGCCCAGAGCCAGGGTAAGCATGCTGGAGAAAAGCCATCTGTACCAAAATCTAATCAAAGAGAAGACTTGACCTAACACATCTCCCCTGAGTCCAACTTCCAAAATGAAAAGGGATAGGGCTGGGGAAGGCGGGAATGAGAGAACACAGGATGACATGGCAGGCTCTGTGAGCAGCAGTTGCAGAGGGGATAGGAGAATCCCTAAAGCTGTGAGCTCCAAGGCCACTAGGGGGCGATCTGCATCTTCCAGCATTGGAAGGCATCTTGAGACACACCACTGGTTATCAGACCCATACTCAGAGAGCACCTCTCAAAATGGATAAAGCCTTGGCCTCCAAAGGAAATTCTACCCACACACAACGGGAAGTTAAGCTCTGTGGATCAGATCCCAGTATGCTGATGCCTGTTCATGATTAGCAATTAGCTAGTGGGTTAGTAATTATGAGCAAATCGGTCAGTTTCCATCAGAAAAGATAGCCTCTGTTAATAAACACAGATTCACTGGGGAAAAAAAACTACTTGGAATGCCTGACCTGTGGTGTGTGTGTGTGTGTGTGTGTGTGTGTGTGTGTGTGTGTGTGTGTGTGTGTGTGTGTGTGTGTGTGTGT